CCCCACTGCTGCGAGTGGGGAGGGTGCCTGTCCCCGCCAGGGACCCACCAGGCCGGTGGCGGCACCTCCATAACGCCTGCCAGTCCGGGCCCTGCCGCCGGCTCCGGCCTCTTGGCCGCGTTTCTTTTCCAGAGGGTGCGAGCGGACCCCCCACACCGCAGCAGCCTCGCTAAGGGGTTGGCCTGCAGCCCAGGTCCTCACTGGCCCGTGAGTTCAAGGGCTGCTGTCGCCCTGCGTACAGTCCTCCAGTGAAACCTGGTCTCCTGGATCGCTCTCTGCGGGGCTGGGGGTGCTGGCAGGCAGGGGGGCTCTGTGGGGCTTCTGTGTGTGGTACTTGAGTGCCATTCTCGGCCGCCGCTTGTGCCAGGCCTTGTCTTTGCTGGGGAGGAGGTTTGAAGGCGCTTGCCTCCCTCACCCTGTGCCCTTCCCGCCCCAGCAGGGAGTCCCGATGGACACGGGAGCGGAGTGGAGCACATCCTGACCCCTTCCCCCCGCGGCTGCCCCCGTGACAGCCCCCATGACTATGGATGAGTGGAAACCCAACCCCGTCGTCAAGCCCCACAAGAAGCGGAGCTGGTACCTTGCCTGGAAGTACAAGCTGATGAACCAGCGTGCGCTGCGGAAGCTGTGCCAGGTGAGTCCCGTGACAGCCCCCATGACTATGGATGAGTGGAAACCCAACCCCGTCGTCAAGCCCCACAAGAAGCGGAGCTGGTACCTTGCCTGGAAGTACAAGCTGATGAACCAGCGTGCGCTGCGGAAGCTGTGCCAGGTGAGTCAGCTGCAGGCCTGTGGTGGATTAGGGAGGATAATCTATAGGTTTTACGAGCTTATGGAGCTGCTGTGTGGGTGGAGGCGAGTCTGCTGGCAGTCCTAGGTAACCTAACGTGCTAGGGAGGCATAACTGGTCCCCCAGAAAGCTACATCCAGTGGCTTTGTGCCCGTGTGTGGAAGGGTCTGCCACGTCTAGCAGCTTCTTCCAGCTGCAAATGGACCTGTTGGGCGGCTATGGTAAGAGATACAATAATTGGGAGGCTTTCGGCTAGAAACCTGACCAGTTCCTCCCCTGCTGCTTCTGGACACATGCCGAGTGGAGCAGGGCTCTGCCTGCACTGGGAAACCACCCCTTTCCCGTTGGGTTTGCAAATTAAAGCTGGTATAAGGCACAGCAGGTGGACAGAGAAAATAGGGCTGAGTAATGGGATCTCGTGCTCCAGAGGCAGCTGGTGTCTGGGAAAGCCGCAGGCTTGGTTGCTTGTGCTGTGAAACAGCTCATCCTTGGTGGAGCCAGCATCCTGGGGGTGTCTGGGGACACAAGGACAGGAACGGTTTGGCCCCATGGCAGCGAGCTGAAGAAGAGGGGCTGTTCCTGAGGTGAGCAGAGCTTGGTGAAATCTGGCAGTTGGTTTCTGTGGGAGGGAGCAGGGGAGGGTTTTGTGTGTGCCTGGGAGGACGAAGGCTCACCTTCCTGGGGAAGGAGACTGCTCAGTCCTGCGTCATCCGGGGTGCTTGGGGCTTGGGAACAGGCCTGGTCTTTCAGGTAGGCATTGCTCATTGCACTGGAGGCAGCCTGTCTGCTGTCATCTCTCTCTTTCATGGTACTGCTGTGGCCTAAAACACAGATGAAAATTGAGCTTAAAGTATGTAAACTAGAGCTGCAGCTATGGAGTGGCCAGGTCTACAGTGCCTGAGCCTCTGTCAGCAGCTCTGATTAAGCCAACCCTGCTAGACTCAGCTGCTGGTCCTGCTTGCTCATGCCTTGTTTGCTCAGGTCACCTGGGCTGTGGGGCTGCTTCCCTGCCTCTCCAGTACGGACCAGTGTGGAAGGTCTGGGCAAGTTGGTAAGGTGGCCTTGCTGCTGGCCCCCGGGCACAGCCTGCTCCTCACTGAGAGCCTAGGACTCTGTTCCTGCCTGATTAAAAGCTTTCTGTGCACAGATCTCAAAAGGTGCTCATACTTCTAAGTCATCAGCAAATCAACAAGCCAAAATGCCATAGTGGTGTTTATATTATAGTGTTTCCTACCTGTCCATCTCTTGTCTTGCTGCTTTTTTTTCATTTTCCTCTTCCTCAGTTACTTCTTGAACCCATTTGGCTGCTTAGCAGAGGTAACAGCATCCTGTAGCTTTGAGGCAATAGCTGTCCAGGTGGAGGGGGGATCCTTTTAGTGCTTCTCAACAAGGGCAGGCCTGTGTGTGATCTCAACCCCATACCAGACCTCAGAGAATCAAGGGGCCTAGAGCTGCAAAAGGCACAGATTTTTAGGAAGCAAGCTGTTGGGGGGTTGAGGGGCAAGGGAAGAGTCTCAAAACCACCCAAGACCTGTTTCAACATCCCCTTGTTGGGGTACCAGGCTATGAGCAGCCTCTACCAACCTCTCCCCTGCTCTCCCTTGGTTGCTGTGACATCTCCCTGCTGAGTCTTGGGATGCTCCAGTTAGCAGGACCCTGAGCTTGCGTGGCTGGGGGAAACCACCTGGTACATCCATAGCACGGCTCGGCCAAAGGGCCACAGCAATCTGTCAGCAGCACGTAGTGATCAGATGTGGGCCTCCATAGTGGCTCTGCTATGAGCTGGACGGACCCTTCTGGCATGGAGGCTGGTAGGGGAGGCCTGCAGCGGTGTTAGCTTTGAGGGTAATGGGTGCTTGGGGCTCTGTGTCTTAAATCCAACAGCAAAGCCTTCTCTTGCCAAGTGACTGTCCAGGGCAGCTTTTGGGCTCTCTGCTAGAGCTGTTCCTCAGCCCAAGAGCAGGGCTGTGGCTGCTGGGCACAGACTTTGTCCTCATGCAGAGCTCCACAGCCACTGCGTGCTGCTGTCACCTTGCCACCATGAAGAAGCACCAGGGCTCTGGGTTACAAAGCTGCCTGGGTCAAGTAAAGAGAAATTGCTTCAGCTGAGGCCTTGTCTTTCAACCCAGGCCATCTTGCATCCCTAGCCAGCACTGCAGCTCTAAGACCATCCTCTTGGCCGTGGCTAGACGTGCTCTTGCAGCTTACACCTGCAGGCAGATCACTTCCCAAAGTGGGATGTTGGTGGTCCAAGCTTTCCTGTGTGACTGTGTCTCAGAAGAGGTCCTTTTGGCAAACAATTCTCCTTTGTGCTGGGTCCAAATACTAGGAAAAAGGCTGAAACTGGGGAAGAGGAAAAACAAAATGCATTTTAATAAATAGACAGGTGCTTGTAGAAATGTGGCAGTCTTTTCCTCCCTCCCCTTAGTCTGGGAGTGACAGGGCCGTGGAAAATGGTGATGCTTGTGTTGGGAGTTCTCATGGGCAGCTGCGTAGCCCCTGGACCTTCCCATAGCCCCGTGTGTCAGCATCCACACAGGTTGCCTTGGTTTGCTGCAGACAGGAAGGCTGCCGGCTGTTCTCTGCAGCCTGTGCCACAGTGCAGTTTCCTGAAGTCAGACCTCAGCTTCTTGCCTTTGCCTTGCTTTAGTCCCACAGCATCTCTCTCCCTCTGAATACCCTGGGTACATCCTCTGGTTGCAGAGGGAGAGACGACAGTAGCGATGCTGCAGGAGAGGCAGAGGTTAAGTTTACTATGGGAGCTGTAACTCTGAGTTACCAAACTCTTTGCACACAGAGACCCTCAACCTCAATGCAGTACTTTAGCAGCAATCTGCTCGCCAATCTGGAAGCAGGGAGACATTAGAAGTGGGTTAATTCTCATGGATCAAGAGTTCAGTGCTCTCCAGCTGATGAAAGCATTTCACTCTAAAACTCAGTCACCTATATTTCTTCTCTTTGCCTTTTCCCAGAAGAAAACAGGAGAAATGATAGATGCTTATGATCCCTTGCAAGATCTCCTTGGGGTGCCCTGCACCTTCTGCCAGGGAGGTGGCCTGATCTTTGGCTTGTTACTTACAAGTTGGTAACACAAAGCATATTGCATTGCAGACAGGTGCTGTGCTTTTCCTGCTTGTGACTGTAATTGTGAACATCAAGCTGATCTTGGACACCAGGAGAGCTGCTTATGAGGAGGAAGAGGAGTCTGCACAGGACTACGGTGAGGGGCAGCATCTTGCTTTTCTTTGAAAGCAAGGAAACCAAAGAGAGGAAAGTATTTCTTTTAAGTCAGGGCAAACTTGTGAGCAGCCACAGCACGAAAGACGGATCCGTGCATGTGGGTTTAATAAAAGTGAATAGAAAGGCTGTTCCCATTCCTGGTCTGTCTACTCAAGGCTTCAGCACGTTTGGCTGCAGAAGTCTGTGTGGGCGTAGCTGGGGCCAGACCCGTTGCCCTGTTGGATTCCCCTTACCTGCTGCCCCCATAGATTCTGCCCCATGGCTTGGTGGGCTGGGATATCTGGTGGACATGACCTCCTGGAGGCTTGGCTGGGCTGGTGCCAAGCAAGGACAAGCCAGAGGTGCCTTGGCTGGTTGAGACTGGGCATTTCTCCCCTGTAGATGACGAGATGCTGAATGTGGAGGCCCCTAGGCACCCTGTCAGCAACAAGAAGGTCTTGGATGTCGAGGTATACTCCAGCCGGTCAAAGGTCTACGTGGCTGTGGATGGGACAACAGTAAGTGACGGGTGCTGAGTGTCCCTGTGAGCAGAGGGTGGGTGGAGCTGAATGGGTGAAGCGTCAAGCAGTGGGTGGTGAGAGTGCTTCTGTGGCTGGCAAGAAGCTCAAGATGGGATCCTCCTCCTGCCTGTAGGACTGTGGAGGTGTTGTCCCACGTTGTCGTCTACTCTGGCATCCATCACTGCCATGAGTAAAGCCAAAATGTCACAGGAGGGAGATTTGCCCCTTGTTTGGGCATTCTGCTGTGCTGAATGGGCAGGGAATAAGAGGCCTTGGTGTGTGGTTCTCATTGCTTCTCCGCTTGCAGGTCCTGGAAGATGAGGCCCGGGAGCAGGGAAGAGGGATCCACGTCATCGTCTTAAATCAAGCTACGGTAAAGCATCCCCGCATGTCTGCGTTTGTCTTCCTTACCGGGCAGTGTTTGTCCTTGCTCTTCAGCTCTTGGGTGCATGAGGCAAAGAGCAGCCAGGAGAGAAGTCCCCGAGTGTTTGCTTGCCTGCAGTTTCCAGAGCACGACATGGTCACCCAGAGGGTCCCTGCAGTGTTTCTCTTGTGCTTGCCAAGCTGTCCTTGGGCAGCAGGCAGGAGAGGAGTTGCGAGGTTGGGTAACGCTGTCCCATGGACCTCAGCACACTTCATGTCCTGTGTGAAGGCCCAAGGGCTGAATTTGCCTAGGGACTAGCTCCCTAGCATACCAGAGAAGTAGCTCATCATGTTATTCAGGGACTGCGGCTTCCAGGACAGATTTCCATAATTCTGCATGTCCTGGCCATGTAGCATTTAAGATGCATCTGACGTTTGAATACCAACAGGGTCACGTGATGGCCAAGAGGGTCTTTGACACCTATTCTCCCCATGAGGATGAAGCCATGGTACTTTTCCTCAACATGATTGCCCGGGGCCGGATCCTGATCTTCACCATTAAGGTATGTGACCTTACTCTCAAAAGAAAAAGACACCTTGAGTCAGGACGCCCTAAAGCTCCTCTGGGCAATTGCCTCCTGAATGTTGTCAGGCATTCCCAGGACTAAAAGTCACATGTTATGCCCCCCTGACTAGATCACCTTACTTGTCCTCTCACTCCACATTGTTACTACAGATACCACTGTGAGCCCAGCAAGGCCAGAGAGCAAAAAGCAGATGTATCAGAGCCTGCAGCAGTAAACAAGAGGTTAGATAGAGAGTGGACATGAGGAAATACAAGGGTGTGGTGGGACTCTTCTGGGTCCCAGTGCCAGGCTTTAGGGAGGGCACTGTGGACTATGCTGGCTCTGGGCTGCTGTGTGAGTAACACTGTGCTTCCTCCAGGTTTCGGGTTTAGCTGTGTGAAGTGTTGCTGAACACATGGCCCTGCTTTAGAACAGTTTGGTCTCAAGGAAGGAGTCTATGACTCCTCTGACCTCCCTGTGAGTCATGATGGAGCCACCGGCAGGTTTAGTGACACAGAGACCTTAGGAACCTGCTCTTGAAGGTTTCTGGATCAGCTGGTTCGAGGGTAGGAGTGGGCCCGATACCCCTTTCGTGGGAGGCTTTCCTTGCCTGCATCATCAGCCAGACCTCAGCTGCAGGGCTGTGTTTTGTTCCAGGATGAAGGCTCCTTTCACCTCAAGGACACAGCCAAGAATGTCCTGAAAAGCCTAGGGAGCCAAGTTGCACCATTCCTGAGCTGGAGAGACATGTGGACATTTGTGGGGAAGAAGGGAGGTGAGTCTAACACAGGCTGGGAGAGGGTTCATGACTCCTTTTTTGGGGAGAAGCCAGCTGAAGACAAACCCAGCCCATCCCCAACACGCTGTATGAGCAGGGATCCAGTCACAGAGAGCAGCAGCTCCATTCCTGGGGGTGAGGGCTGGAATGGAATGGAGGCAGAACATGTCCATTCAGCAGCTCATCAGAAGCCAGTGGGAAAAGTGCCAAACTGCCACCCTGAGCTACAGCCCCTGGTCACACCTTGATGCAGCGGGGATGGGCCCTTCTGGACAGTTCTGACCCTGTGTCCCTGCTCCAGGGGAAGTGTACGGGGAGAAGCACGCCAAGTCACCTGCCCTCTCGACGTGGGGTGACCCTGTACTGCTGAAGACAGAAGTTCATCTGACATCCGTGGAAGGTAGGAAGTAAGATCTGCTCTGCGGTGCCAGGTGTCTCTGGGAGATGTCTGCCTGCTGCTCTTCGTTTTGAGTCAAAGCCTGGTTCTGTTGGCAACATCTCGGGACGGATTTAAGGCTGTTTGATGGTAACTTCTAACGTGGGGCAAGCTGGTTTTTTTTCCTGCTTTCGTGGCAATTGCAGGCATGGTTGTTGAAAAGGGTGAGGATAGGGAAGTGGGGACATGGTCTGGCCATTTGTCACCTCTCCAAACCAGGTCTGGTCCAGTATTTTCTGACTGTTGCCCTTGAACATGGCCCATTGCTGCTCAGAGAGGGGATGGGATGGCTTCTGAATGGCTCCTGTGGTTATATCCTGCATCCAGAAGTATTGCTTGTTCATAGTAATAAAGACTGGCTTGGTGATGGCTGAGCCCAGGGAGAGCTGTCTGTGTGGCAGTGCAGCATTGAGTACACGAGGGGTGGCCGTGGGGACGAGCAGTCTGTTTTTTCTCCTTGGTGCCTCCAGATGCTGAGTGCCATTGGCCTGACACAGACGTGAACCGACGCCCGA